AACATGAAATGATTGTCCCCTTAGCTCTTTCCACTGCCATGTTCTAGGAGAATCTGTGGCCACTTTGTATGGGCTTCTAGGAATAGAAATTTAAAAGTCACAATTTCTGTTCATGCCAATTGTTCTCTCTCTAAAATTACTGCCTGCTGATTTAGTTGTGTTTATATAAAAACACCTTATTCACATATTAGTTTTAAAATTCTGCTTTTCCTTTTATCCTTTTATGCCAGATTTATTGGGAGTAGGGCATTTTTGAGTCTTAACACATCTTCCTGAAAAAATTGTCTTCACTGTTGAGCTAGAGCACTTTAAAAAAAATTAGAGTTGTTAAAAATTGTACTGAGCTATAAAGTATTTTGATTAATCATTATCACATGACCACTTAATATATCACTTTTTTCCCATTTTTTTAGTAGATTATAATTCTGCATAATGGTGGGATCTATTGTTACATATTCATACAGGCACACACTATATTACTTTTGAAGAAAGTTTTGAAAGGCTTATTTATTATGTAGCCTTTTAAATTGTGAGTTCACCTCTCCAATAATTATGAAATTTGTAATAAAATTTTCTTACTTTTAAATTTTTATTATCATCAATTCTATCAGGTAGCCTCTGTGACATCTAAGGGCTCTCAAACTGGCACTGATTGATGCCATTTCTGCCTTTTTTCCTTCCCCAGTGCTTTCTGATTCAGAGTAAATTGAATGCTCAGCCAGCCCTGGTACATGACACATTTTGTAAGGTCACAAACATGCAACCATATCTTTTTTTGAGGGATAATTTTGAGTAAAACAAAATCAGAAAAACTTTGCCTTTAAGTTCAGATTGATAAGGTGAAACCTGATTTCCAAAGAGCCCTATAAAACCAGGTTTCCACCCTGAAGCTAGCTGGCCTGAGTTTGAATCCCATCTCCCGCAGTTACTGGCTCTTTGCTCTTGGGCCCTGGGCAAGAGCCTTCTGTGCTTTGTTTGTCTAAGGACCCCAGGAAGCAGCTTCTGAGCTGGAGGTGAATAACTGTAGTGAGGTGTGCTTTGTCACTGTCAGGAGGGGAGGAAGAGGAAGTAGGACTGCACACTGGGAGAGCTGAGCTGTGACAACAGTCCCTATAAGGGCCTCCAGACACACAGGGAGCCCTGGAGCTGGGACAGCCCTGTGGAGTTGTCCCCAGTTGGGGCATGGAAGCCTGGCTTTTACTCTCCTGCGCTAATCAGTCGCTGGCTGGCTCTGGATGGAGGCGTGACTTTAGGAGAGGCAGTTAGTTTCCTTTAGCCAAGATGGTACCCAAAGAGGGCTGAAGCTGTGAGCTGTCCCTGTAGTGCCTCCTGCCCCTGGAGGAACAACTCTTTCACCACCCCCCTGGTGAAAGAGTTATCCCTTTCTCACAGGGTGGAACATGATGTTAAAATGGGTTAATATAAATAGAAGCATCAGATCAGTGTCTGACTCCCAGAAACTGACATGTGTTTCCTAAGCAAACTAAAATTAAAATAGTGGACCTCCTGTGTTTCATCTGCCATTGTCTTTTAACCAGACTGTTCTCTTAATGGTTTCTAGACTCTGTTTCGGAATATGCCAATTTCCCTTCTAATTCAGGGCCCTTTTAGTTAGTTATCCCTGAAACATCTACCCTGGGTTCGACATTTTCCCAGGTCATGAAGGTAGGAGCCTTTGAGAATGGAGTCTGTAAGCCCCTTCCTGCTTTTGCCCCTCCACGTAACCCAGGCCACTGATGCCATAGCTGGTCCTTTAACCTGTTACGTTGCATGGAAACTGCACAGAATACACTTCCAATAAATATTTGACGAGTTAATGAGGCTTTGGGTGCCGCCCCCGACCAGCGCGGGCAGCTAAACTAAAGATTGCTAAACTAAAGATTGCTAACTAAAGTGAATTTTCTGGGATACCAAATAAAACACAGACACACCTTTTACCTTTAAATCAAGCTTCAGGATGCCTCAAGCTCCCCAAATGGGAGAGCGAGGAAAAAGGCTGGTGAGAGAGAGCTAGCATGTTTGGGAGTGAGCTTTGATCAGGGGGACCTTCATTCTTTAGAAAGTTCCATCCAAAAAAGGTTAAGAGGGGCAGGGTTACAAGGACAGGTAAGGTAACTCGACCCCTGGGGCTGCAGGAGGCCATGTCTATGCATGAAGACACATTCTGCTACTTCCAGGATGGGGCAGCGTCTTAGGCCACTACGAAAGTGACCATGTCACTACGAAAGTGACTGTCAGAGCCTCTACTAATCACGGGAAGGAAAATGCAAGTCATTCAGCATGACAGCCCCCCACATTTGGGTTTTCTTGTCTGCTCAACAGTGTGCCCATAGGTCAACATTCGTTGATTTTTCTCAAAAACAGAACATGTGTTTCTACAGAATCTCCTTGATCCATTTGAAACCCACAGCAGTGGGAGACCACCCTAGTGTGATGGCCGAATCTGTGTGTAAACTCAGCCGGGCTGTGGTGTCGGACTCATTTAACCAAACACCTGTCAAGATGCAGCTGTGAAGATACTTTTCAGATGTGATTAGCTTATCAGTAGACTTTGAGTAACACAGATTACCCTCCATTATGTGGGTGGGCTTTCTCCTGTCCATGGAAAGCCTTTAGAGTGAAGACTAAGGTGCCCTGAGGAAGGAATTCTGTCTCTAGATGGCCTTCGGACTCAGGACTGCCACTTCTGCTGGAGTTTCCAGCTCGCTGGCCTCCCTATTGACTACAGACTTGCCATCCTTCACAATTCATGAGCCAGTTCCTTAAGTTAATATCTCTGTATGAAAATCCTTTTGGTCCTCTTTCCCTGAGGAGTCCTAACACACCTGGGAACTCAGCGTCTTCTTAGGCTCTCGTTCCCAGCTTTTACGTGAATGGCTACCATGCCCACCTGGGAGTCCACGGCCCGACTTCTCAGCAGGCTGCAGAAGATGCCATCTCATCTGCTTATGCTTATTCCTCAATTGAGCCACCAAAGGGGAGTCTTGCTTTGCCTTTAGGGTTCGTACTTATGGGTTGTGAAAAACTAGGAACGGTCTGTTCTCCTTTTTGGGAGGGCCTCCTGGTCTGTCTCCTCACATGAGGCCAGTTGCACTTTCCTGGGGGAGGACAGTGATCATTCTTCAGGATGCATGTAAACATGGTGTCCCCCCCCCCTGTATCTGTCACAGATGGTGTGGACACACTGTTTTCTGGCTTCTCTTAAAGCTCCTGACACAGCATGTCCCTTTCCCTCCACTTATATTTAGGACTGAGGCAGTGTTTACATTTCAACTGCTTATGAGGGGCACAGGAGCTGTGTCGTTAAGAGTCTTCAACAGGTCACCACCCTCTACAATTTGGAGCATGATTAGTGATTTCATTGTCTCATTAAATATAATATGAAATCAAGTTGGATAGAAAAAAATTCACAGAAGGTCAAAAGTGGCTTCTGGCAGTGAGAATTCACCATGAAAATTTATGATGCCCTGTGTGTATGACGTTGCCATGGTTTGATGCTAAAAGTAGGTGCACGTAAAGAAGCCAAGTCTCATTTCTATTTTTAAACCATGGACTTCCTCTAATACTTAAAATAGAGAAGAGACACGAAAGGTAAGGGACTAATGGCATACATTCAAAGGAAATATGAACACGGTTTAAGTCTTAGAGAGTTATCAAGGTGAGAGAAAATGGCAGCTCGTCATTCATGGCTTTCATGAGAACACGTTGGAAGTGGTTCACACTGCTCAGTGCTGTGGACACTGTTCACAGTGTTGAGAGGAATACATGTGTTCCTGTGTCACGTGTTCATGGAGAGGGCTGCAGATGTGGGGCATAGACATTTGTGGTTCTGTTGTGTCCACTCACCCTACTTCTGGGTTCCTCCTGGTGTTGCTGCTTGGCTGGTACTTATGCTGGGTGGGAGTCTCAGAGAAAACTTGGGGTCCTGTGGTTCATTCAGAGCTTAGCTACAGAGGGTGGGACAGGGTCAGGCCAGGATAGGGGAGCCATGCCAAGAGTGCTGAGAGCAACACTGAGGCAGAGGTGGCACCTCTAGTTCACACCAAGGGCTGGAGCTAAAGCAAGTTTGCAGTTGGAATGACTGCAGCAACAAAGCAACCCTTGTGGGCTGGAGTAGAACGAGAGTGCAAGGTCACCTCTTTAAGAGGTGACGTTGGTAGGTAACTGAATGAATAAGGAAGTGGAAGAGAGAGGCGGACTTTCTTCATACAGAAGAACCCCAAACTATGTCAATACTCCGCTCTTAGGAGTTGAGAGTTTGGTCCCTTCGCCACCCACTTTCACTCTGTAAGGGTGGATTGGATTGAGTGACTTGCTTTCAAAAATAGAATGTAGAAAGGAAAAAAATAGTAACTCTCAGTGGGCAAACCTTGGAGACACTACTGTATCTGAGTGATCAAATGAACATCGTCGGTGAGAAGTCCTGCAGCCCCTGACGTGCCGAGAATGACACTTCTCACGGTGTTCTTCTAGCTCTTGGTGTAGTCTAAGAAAACCACCAGACAAATGCAAACCTGGGGTATCTCAAGATACTCCTCAAAACTCTCAAGGTCACGAAGACCAAGGAAAGACTGAGCAATTCGCCTAGGCCATTGGAGACTCAGTAGATTTGATGGTTGAACACCACGTGGTGCCCTGAATGGGATCCTGCAAGGGAACAAAGGTGTTACCTGGTGAAATGCAATGGGATCCAGAGTTTGGTTCATAGGAAGGTGTCAGTGTTGGTATTTAGTTTTTACAACTGTACCATGGTAATGCAAGATGCTGACACACAGAAAACCAGGTGAAGGATACATAGCAGCTCTCCTTACTGTTTTTGTAACTCTTCTATAAAAATCCATAGCTTTCAAAAAGGAACATTTTTAAAACTAAAACAAGTTTATGTAGGCAAGTTTATGTAGGCTCCCGGGAAATAGGAGACAGCTGCTGGAGGAAATGTTCATAAGACATTGTGACGGGGACCCCTATGCAGGGGATCAGGCATAGCACCCGTAGGGGCTCACTGGACCTAGTTTCTCTGCTGAGGTTCTTTAAGATTCAAGTGCTGGGTTTGTGTTATACTGTTTTTTAAAGCTCACTGATTTTTCCTAGTCATCAAAGGGTGCTATCATCAAAGGGTGCTATGGTTTGAAGCTGTCCTCCAAATTCATGTGTTGGCAACTTAATCTTCAAGTAACAGTGTTGAGAGATGGGACCTATTTAAGAGGTGATGGGTCACAAAGGCTCTTCCCTGGAGAATGGCTTAATCAGGGGAGGAGTTAGTTACCAAGAGAGTGGCTTCTTTTTTTTTTTTTTTAAGAGAGAGAGAGAGAGAGAATTTTAATATTTATTTTTAGTTCTTGGCAGACACAACATCTTTGTTTGTATGTGGTGCTGAGGATCGAACCCGGGCCGCACGCATGCCAGGCGAGCACACTACCGGTTGAGCCACATCCCCAGCCCCAAGAGTGGCTTCTTGATATAAGGATGAGCTTGGCTGGCCTCCTTCCTCTTTCACTGGGGCATGTTCTCTGTTCTCTTACCTGTCTACCTTACACAATGGGAAGATGCAGCAGGAAGGCCCTTGTCAGATGTGGGCCCCTTGACCTTTAACTTCCCAGCATGCGGAAGTAAAAAATAAGTGTTTGTTCTTTTTAAATTACCCAGTCTCAAGTGTTTGGTTATTGCAGCACAAAATGGATGAAGACAGAAAGGTTTTGTTTATAACTTGGAAGAAATGAGGCCACATACAGGACACCTTCAAGTTGCTATGTTATTTGGAACCCTGAAGTGGCCTAAGGAGATAAGCTACGTTGCTGAGAGTCACAGGTTGTTGGTGATGGTGGCAATAGGAAGGATTAGCATGTTAGGTTATTGGAGGAATCTGCCCTTCAAGAGAAGCACTTATGAGGCTTCTTAAGTTAAAGCCCTCTCCTTCCCACTTTTCAGATCAGGAAGGTACCCTGCTGTTCTTTCAGCAAATCCCTCAAAGGGGCTGGTTCCACTTTGGAAATGCCTGGAGGCTGGAGGCTGGAGGATGTTGATCTGGGAGCATAGTTCCCAAGCCCCAGTATCCGGCGGAGAAGTTCCTTCAGCATGTGAGGATGTTTCATCCAAGGCTGGGTCAGCAGGTGGAGCTCACCAGGCCACAATGTTGCCAGGTGGCCCATGGCAAAGACAGACTTGGAGGAGGCTTTCTGTCACCTGAACCACACCCTCAAAATGAATATGGAAATAATGATGAGCTATTAGAGTTGTTGAGCTGAAAAAATCTCCTTTCAGTTTAGCTTCTTTATAAAATAATGGGAAAATGTATAGACAAGAAGCTTCTTATCAGTTGCTACTCAAAGAATGAAAATTTTTAGCATTGACCTCAACAAAATGTAATAAGCAAGATCAACAAGTAACCAAAGCATTACATAATCAACCCATTGTTAAACAGAATTGCCCCATGTCACATTGTGTTTTTAAACTCAGGTGATAAGGTTTGTTTTGAGCTGTATGTCATACTCACGGAGACACTCCTATCTTTACTATCCACAAAGACCTCTGTCTGTATGACTTCTGGACTTGGAGAATTTTCATTTCCTTATGCTTCTAAGAGTGGGGCAATTGGCCAGTGTCCTCTCACCTCTAGGGCTATTTGTTCTAAACTTCTTGGAACAAAAGATTCTCTGTCAAGAAACTTCACCCCTCACATACACATTCAGCCTTAGAAAAGAGCTTTCAGTAGAAAGAAAGCAGGAAGATCAGGCAGGAACAGGTGTGTTCTGTGGATAGCAGCTTGGCCCAACTGGGCACTCTGACACCCTGGGAAATTTGGTTTCTGCAGGTGTCTGAGCTCCTGAAGGAGATTTACGGAAGTTTTTTTCAGGGTGAGTGTATGAATAGGAAAAAGATGGGAAGGAGGAGAAAAACAAAGAAATTGGCTTGTAGAAGAGGCGCGTTAGCTATGTTTAAAGGACAGAAGGAGTGAGCAAGTGGGAACAAAGCCAGTCCCAGGTGACCAACAAGTCCTTTGAGAGGGAGTCACAGTCAGGTTTGTAGAGAGCAAATTCAGTGCAGTGAGATGGGTCTCAGTAATCGCAGAACAAGACAAGAAAACAGATCTGTGATTCGGGGTGGCATGTGCATGAATCTCAGCACCTGCAATTTTCTTCTCCCCTTTCCTCAAGCTGTTGCCAAGCTGCCTCCTCTTCCACTCTTGTGTCCTGAGGCTCCTCCTACACTCTGCCTCCAGTCACTTCCTGCTCTACTTCTTCATTCACTATTATTTCACCCTTCTGGAGCCACACCACTGTATGGAACAGCCAACAGCATATTGTTGGCTTTACCTCCTCTTTCGATGGACTCTATCTCCCAGACATCACAGGCCAAAAATTAGCAGCCTGCAATGAACTTTTATTAAGAGACATAATATTTGATCAGAAAGCCAGAGGATGAAGTATTCCACCACAGAGATCACATGACAAGCTATCCCTGGAAAAGACCACAGCTCTTGGAGGCTGGCAAGCTTCCCCAGGGCTCTGCTGTCCCTTTTCTCTCCCACTTGTGTCTGACTTCTCCCAGGTCTCTGCCCTTCCTCACACCCCCTCCCTCCCTTCCTCACATCCTCCAGTTCTTACCTTTTCACTGTATGCACTTGGCTTCTCCAGCATCCCTCTGGTGGCTGTTGTACTCTGTCCACAGCATGATCTCCACAGAGCTTCACTTCAACATCACTTCTTGGGGGAATAGTTCAACCACAACAAGGGCCGGTGAAACAATAAGTGTGACTTGGGCAAAACAAGAAAGGTGTGAAAAGGGATTTAGGGGCCAAACTGAGTAGTCTGTTGCAAGAATGTAGCTCCATGTGGGTCCTAACTGAGACCAAATTGTGTGATGACTGAGATGTGACAATTCAATACAAATGAATAAAATGCAAGTTCTGACAATGCAGGGTAAGAAGATGAGCATATATTGGGTTACCCTACAATGTTAGGCCTAGACAGGGGCACAGCTGAGTGTGAAAGGAATTGTTAATAGTTATACCAGAACGCAGGTGTAACTGGGAACTGTCCAGACAGAACAGGGAAGGGGAGGGCAGACTACCTTAGTTCATGATCTGTTGCTATCACAGAATACCATGGACTTGGCAACTTACAAGGAAAGAAATTGATTTAGTTCACACCTCTGGAGGCTTGGGAAGTCCAAGGGCATAGGACAGCATCTGGCCAGGGCCTTCATGTTGCACTGTAACATGGTGGAAGGCAGAATGACAGGCAAGCATATGCAATAGAGAAAGCGGGAGTACAGACTCAGACTCGCTCTTATAAGAGCCCTCTCTCTCAATAACTAATGTACTCTGGTCATCACCAACCCCTCCACTGTCTGAGATTATCCCTTCAGGAGGGCTCCACCCTCTAGACCCAGTTGCCTCTCTTTAGGCCCTACCTCCAATGCTGGAATATAGGAGATACACCCAAAAAGAATGGAGGAGTTCAACAGAGCTTGGGGTGGGAAGCTTCAGAAGCTCAGTGTGTTGGTTTTAGAGTGCTAGCTATTTTGGGATGAAAAGAACTTTGTGGGAAACATTCCATGTGCTAAGCTTTAAAAAAGGTAAAAAGATAAAATGGGTAACTGGGTTAAGTCTTATCTTAATTATTATGAGAAGAGACTGAGAAAAAGGTTTCCTGCTTTCTCTTTTTTTCTGGCTGACTGGCTGATCTAGGCCACTGTCATCAAACTGTTATTTTGTATGTGGGTTTCCATGAATTTAACAGTGGGGCTCCTTTGGGAAACTGAGGCCACTATTCAGTGCCCTCTACCCTTCTACAACTCTTCTTGGTTTGGTGGTGATTGTATCTTTTATATATTAAGTTTGGCATAACATTGCATTTGAAAGGGAAAACCACAACACACTTTGTATTGTTTTAAAAACCACTGATCCAGGGTAAGTCTCAGTATGATTCCACCAACTGCAAAGCAAGAGAGAAGGTATCATTGCTCCCATAGTGATTATTAGTCAGATGGCATTATTGAATGGCATTATTGATACCACATATGTATATGCAAAGTTAATCCTTTGATTTTTTTTATCTTAGGGAAAAAGAACATTTTCTTTCACTCAGTTTAAGAAATATGTTGGATTTGATACTAATGTCACGCCTGCATTCTACTGTTGTGAAGTGCTTGTATAATATATACTCGGATTTTCATAAGAAACAAATTTTGGGTCAGTATCATTAGAAGACTTTGTCAGGCTGTAGAAAGGTGGAGAAGGAAAATTTTTATACTTTTGAGTAAAAATGCTGAAAGTATAAATGTCCTGTGGGCTCTTCTTTCTCCCACCCTGTTGATGCCTTTTGTATTCTCCATCTCTTCAAGGAATTCTGGAAGTGTTTCTGAAACAGTTCCTAAGATTGTATTAGCCAATTAGCTCTTGCTGCTAATTTTCATTTTGTCTAATTTAGACAATTTTGGTATAGAATTAAAGCTCTTGAGCTATGCTGCCAAAGAAATATTATGTAACTTAAAAATTTCAAGTATCCATGTTTTTAAAAAAGCAAAAAAGAAAGAGATGCAATTAATTTTCATAATTTAACCAATATATCCAAAATATTATCATTCAACATGTGATCCATATAAAAATTAATTAATGAGATATTATCTTTCTTCTTTTTCGTACATGGTCTTAAAAATTCAGCATGTACTTTACACTTGAAGCACACCCCAGTTCAGAGTGGCCACATCTTAAGTGCTAAGTGGTTACAGGTGACTAGTGGCCACCATCTTGGGTGGTGCAGCTCGGGAGAGTCCATGCATTTTGTAGCACTAAATGCTAATAGAAAAAATTTATTGGGAAGTGACAAAAACTCTCCTTGATTAGACGCTAGTCAGGTTCCTCTGAGATTCTTTTCAATGGGGCTATGTGCAAACAAGCTCTCAAAAGCCTAATTTTAGAAAGACTCCTATCGGGTTGGTTTAGCAAAAATCCCTTCTTGTCAATATTTGATCCTTCCTCAATATCTGACCAAGTTCCTCATCCTGTTAATTCCCCAGATGATGTATAATCACCCCGGCCTCCTTTCAAGACTTTTTTGTTGGTTTAACTGAATACCTCAGGCTGAGTAATTTATAAAGAATAGAGGTTTATTGATCATGGCTCTGGGCCTGGGAAGTTCAAGAGCATGACACTGGCATCTGATGAAGGAACTTCATGCTGCATCATAACATGGAGGAGGGTATCACATGATCAGCCAGAGCCAGTGTGCTAGTTCATGTCTCTCTTCTAATAAAGCCACTAATGCCACCATGTGGGCCCTACCCTGATGTCTTTGATCTTAATAACATCCCAAAAGTCTAGTCAATAAATTCGACATATGAATTTGAAAACTTTGGTGGTACACCTTCTAACCTTAGCACCGACCTCTTAGTGGTTTTCCATACATCAACACTTGAGCCTTCTTGCTCTATAGGTGCCAGCCAGCAGGATTCCTTCTGGGCTCCCTCAGCCACCTTTCTTCTTGCTACACATCCCCACATTCCTGGCTATAGAATTTAAACTAGTTTCCCTTCTGCTGAAAAGGCCCTATGGTGTCATGTCTCAGTTGCTTGCTTTTCCATTCTTCAAAAATTTTTCTTCTCCAAGGACATGGGCATGGCCTAGCAGACTATGTTAAAGGATGACCTGGGTGTGGATTCTGCAGCCACCACTTGGGTGAATTTGGGTGAGGTGCTCAACCTGTCCCTGCCTCAGGGACTCCCCAGTTTATAGGGATCTTGCCTGTTGCACACCAAACACTTTGTGTTGAACAAATGACAAGCATTGGAGTGCTGCTGTTTTTGTTATTTTTGGTATTATTGAAGGTTCTCTGTCAATGTCTACTGGTTGAGTGATGGGTTGGTAGGTTACTTCAAATTCTGAGTAGTGGTCAGTTGGTCAAACTTTCTAAAAAGGCCTCTAGGGGAACATTAGTTGAAAATCCCTGATATCAGTATATTCAGAGTTAACAAACTCTGCTACCACCCACAGATCCTGAGTAGGCCTTGCATGTTCTGGGCCTGACTCTCCTCGGGGCTGTACCTCAGGGTAGGATGTGAGGTGGCTGCAGAGGCCTTTGTTCACACAGAGTGAGTCAGTGACTCTTAATCCAGCCATCAGGACTGTGGTCCAGGGGATCAAAACCTAACAATAGAGACTAGCTCAAGAAGGTGGGAACCTCTCAAAAAGGTCATGCAGTAGCCAGCAAAGCCAGCAGCTGGAGCCAGGTGTGCCACAGGGTGAGAGCAGATGTCTTTCCTTTACACTTGAAGCACACCCCAGTTCAGAGTAGTCTTCCTGTTGGATGTGGGGATCCTGGGGTGTTTATAGCTGAGTCAGGGAGGTTCAATCTATCCTCAAGGCCCTGTCCATTCTCATCTCCCCTCAGAGGCTGCTCCCAGGTGAGCTCTGAGTGTACCTGTGCAACATGCTTGGTGTGGCCTGAACCTGGGGCCTGGTCACAGACACCTGTCTTCAAGGGGATCTCCAGGAACTTCATGCAGGCATAGGTTTGGATAAGAGCAGCTCTAGAGGATTCTCAGTCATCTCTGCTCCCCAGTGCTCAGGATTCCCAGGCCTGTCCCTTACAATCAAGGGGATGTCCTGGAGCTTGGCTTCCATCAGGCTGCCAGCCAGCAGGGGCCCTTCTGGAACTCTTTCAGCAGTCACTGTTTTTTTTTGGAGATTGAACACAGGTCCTAATCAAGCATACTGTATGTACCCTGAAATGCATCCCCCAGTTCCCACCCCTTTTTATTTTGAGTTTCCCAGGCTGGTTTGAACTGGTAGTCCTCCTGCCTCAACCTCTAAGTCACAGGGATTACAGGCATATGTCACTGCGCCTGGCCAGAATTCTTGAATAGGTTCCCCCTGGGCTTGAATACCTTGAACATCTTCCCTCCTTTAATTTCCCATACTTTATCTCAGATCTGCCCTCTGTGGCCCTGTATGATTGAATCATTCTTTAGCAGGAGCCACTTTAAATATTTGAGTAGAGCTCCTGTGTCACTACTGTCTTTACTCTAAGTTCTTTTATGAAAATTATTACCTTTGTGATTTAATTCTCTGTTCTGGATCCTTTCTATAGCAGACACCTTAAATACAACCAAACCAAACAAAACCAAAAACTCCACCGACTACTAGGATTGTCGTCAGGAATCAATCTTACCATGTGGGGACCAGGCAAGGGGGGCATCCATCCTTTCATTCACACACAGAGGTTGATCTCACCTTGTGACCTGAGGTGGAAGCCTGTGCCCTTTTCTTTCTTTCTTTTTTAAATATTTTTTTCAGTTGTTGATGGACCTTTATTTATTTTATGTGATGCTGAGGATCGAACCCAATGCCTCACATATGCTAGGCAAGTGCTCTACCACTGAGCTACAACTCCAGTTCTCCTTTCTGTTTTAATAGTCATTGCTTATATTTGGGGGAAATAGTTTAGTTAGGATTAATTTGGGGCACGAGTACAGTAGTCCTCTCTTATCTGTGGGGAATACACTCTGAGACCACAATGGATTCTTGAAGCTGAGAGTAGACCTTGTGTGCTCTACTTTTTTTTTTTAAATGTATGTATGTACCAATGATAAAGCTTAATTTATAAACTAGGTGTAATAAGAGATTGATGACAATAACTTACCCTGGATCTTATCAACCTGAACATATAATTCTTTCCCCCACTCTTCTTATTAGATCAAGAACTTTCCCCTTTTCCCTTAAGGGAAGCACTTTGCCACTTCTTTGGCATATCTGGAATGCCGCCATCTCTACTCTCATGCTGTGGGGCCACTATTAAGTGAAACAAGGGAACATAGTCCCTGCAGATGCCTCAAGAGTCCATCTGATGACCAGGACGGCTCTTGAGTGGGTAATGGGCAGGTGGTGTACACAGCATGGACACACTGGAGCAAGCTTTGGTTCAGGTCGTGCGTGGGACAGGGCAAGACAGGACAGTGTGAGATAAAATTTATGTTATTTATTTTTTTAATTCTTCATTTTAATATTTCTGGCCCATGGTTAAACTCAGGTATCTGAAACCATGAAAAGCAAAACTGTGGCTAAGGTAGGACTACTGTAATGGATCTCAAAATAACAGTGACATGAGTGACCTTATCTCTCTCTCACCTGCAAGCTCAGAGGTAGAATGTGTCTGTGACTGATGACTATCCTCAACATCTGTCATCCCCAGGATTCTTTTCTCTTGAGCTCTGCCATCTTGGGTCTCCATCACACAAGTCACCTCTTCTCCAAAGTAGCTTCTGGGGATCCAGCCATCATGTTTGCATTCTATCTATCAGGAAAATGGAAGAGGTGAAGGGGATGAATCAGGCATTCATTAAGGAAGATTCTTGGAGTTGCCTAATGTTTCCCACATCCCTTCAGTCAAAATTCAATGTCAAGGCCTTACTTGGCTCAAACAAGGCCAAGAAATCTAGTCTTTATTCTGGAAGACCACACATACAGCTAAAAACTGAGATTTCTGTTAACTGGCAAAATCGGGAAGGGATATGAGGTGATACCCTGTCTGTACAATAGCATAAGCAGTTAGTTGACCCTTCATTGTTCATATTGCTCTTTGACTTGTAAGAGAAGGGGAGTCCATCCTAGTGTCTTCATAGAAAGTTCTAGATTGTAGAAAAGATAGAAACAAAACTTCTTAGGCCATGATTGTGTGAAGAGGAAAAGGACATCACAAAAAGGAGACATTTAGCTTTGAAATGGCAGTGATTTTTCTTAGACCATGCTCTATGATAAAATTGCAAAGAAAGATTTTAAAATTCCATTTAAAGTACATTACCAAAATCAAATGCACACTGATTTGTTAAGTGTGGACACAAAAAAGTGTAAGCCTCAGAAGTGTGTGCACGTGGGCTTTGGCTAGAGTGTGTGGGCTCTGCTGCATCTTTGCCTGGAGGAGGCAAAGAACACTCAGTCAAGGGACCGTGAACCTGGAGGCTGCTGGCTGTCACCAATGGGATGCCTAACTTTGCTGGGCCACAGTCTCAGCTCTGAATATCTGGGTGGGCTTATCTCTGAATAAGCTTCAGTGGGCTTCAGGGCTTTTAAAATTCTGACTGTCCACTAGATATCAGGTCAACAATGGTGAGGGAACCCTTAGAACCTTAGTCCCCAGCAGTTTTGGAAGGCCATGTCTGTGTGCACAAGTCATGTGTACAGCCTGGTGGGAACACGCTCAGTCATGCAGCTACACTCGGGTGTTTGTTACCCATGTTGTCCTTCCTTTCTACCTTGTCCTTGTGAATGTCACAGCTATATATAAGGGAGAATTTGTAGTTAGAGCAAGCAATTTTGAAATCTGTGGAGTACTGAAGGGAAATATAGTGAATGGTTCATGGTGATGGTATGATTTCACCAGTTACCACACTTATCAATAAATGTCAATTCAGGGGACTGGGGCTGTGGCTCAGCGGTAAAGTGCTCATCTAGTACATGTGAGACCCTGGGTTTGATCCTCAGCACCACATAAAAATAAATAAAATAAAGGTATTGTGTCCAACTATAACTAAAAAATAAATATTTAAAAATAAATAAATAAATAAATGACAATTCAGTTTGTATTATCTAATAGCTAAGTTTCATTTAGATTTAAAAAGTGGTAAAAATTAGAGCTTAAGAGAAACACAAGATAAAATTAAGGGATATGATCAGACAGAGAGATAATACAATTAGTATTTTGTGCTGTTAAGGTTAAATGCAAGTGTCAAGATGTTATCATGGATAATATTTTCAGTATTTCATTTTTTAAAAAATTCTTCAAACCCTTGGAATTTCTAACAACATAGAACGTTGCTTTGTTTCTAGGAGTCTCTGCCTGCTCTGCCCCCATCTGCAGAACTGATGACTATTTCCTTTCAAGGTCTCTGTATCTGGGTTCTACAGCTGAGTAACTGAACCCATAGGACCTAGGCTTTGAAGTGTCTAAAGTACTAGGTCTTGTATGAAATATGGAATCATTTAGACAAATCTCTAATTGTGATGTGCACACCTCACTAAATGGCTAGCATTTTCCAAAATAAAGCAGATAACTATATTATTTGTTGTGATGTTTCGATTCTTTAAATGATCAAGAAAACCACTTTGAGGAATATAACATGTAAAATACAGTTAAGAGAAGTATTGTGCTAGGTTTAGCAATAACATGAAAAAGTGAAAAAGTATATTATTTCCTAATAACTAGGTCTTGCTTTCTGCCTCTCCAATGTTTCCCAGTCAGAGAAAGAGAAATTGTTACTTACAAGGTGTTTGTTGAATTTTTCAGGTTGATTCCTAAAAGCATCTCAGTAATATCTTTACTGGCTTTTTGGAAGCAAGAAGCTTTGAAGTGTTTTTTTTTTTAATTTTTTTTTTTTAACTTTAGGCTTTAAAAAGGTCAGCACAGGAGAGTGGCAGTGATTTGAGAGCCCCCATGCGATGTGGAGGCAAGTTAGACAAATACCCAGACCCGCAGCCTTTTTGTGCTCTGTGTCCGGCTGCCCCTGACCACTGGGCAAGCTTTGGGGGAGAAGACACTGTGTCCACACAGCCACATAGGCTAGGAACCCTGCTCACCCTAAGTTGAGCGATCTAAATGACCCAAAGAAAGGTTTTCTTACAAAACAATATCCCCCCCAAACCAAATTGCTCAATGGACTTTGCTTTCTCTTTTTTGAGTCAGGGACTGTTTAGCTGAGTGGCCAGGCACTTCAAGCTACCAAGCGTCTGGGCTCTCACAGGTACAGCCCATTTCTCTCTCTGCTCTCCAACTCCCTCCTGTGACTTGAAGGAGGAGATCTGATAGCTCAGGGTGAAGTTGCAACCGCCTGGCAGCTGCTCTACCTTTGGTGGGTGCCCAGTCACACCAGGAAAAAAAAAAAAAAGAAAGGGCAGGCTGGCCTCGGTGAAGTCATCCTGTAAGGGTGGTGACACCTCCTCACACGACTGTGGGGAAAATGCTGGGTGCCGGGCAGCGCTTGCTCCCAGCTGCCTGTCAAGTGCTGGGAGTAAGAGGTGACCTCTTTATTTTTAGAAAGGGGCTGTCATAATAACCCCGCGCTTAGCTTCATTCAAGGCTGGTGGCAGCATTTTGGAAGTTTGTAAACACCAACTTTCGGAGTAAGGGAGGAGTGCTTTTTTTCCACCCCGAAAAGGAAAGATCTTCACTCCTGGGGCTTTTCTCCCTGGACCCTGAGTTATTCTGGAAAAGACCCTGTTCAGCTTCCCTGCTGTGGCAAGCAGGTGTGACAGCTGGGCCATGCTAAAAAGGGCTGAAATGCCTGAAGATGAGGACTTTGGACCAGGCAAAAGGTAATTACAATTTATACTTACTTTACCTGGGGTGTTTTGTTTGCTATTTTTGGTCTTAAAACTATTATGATTAGTTTAAAAAGGGCTTTAAATGAAAATAGTTTTAAAAAATTAGGAATGCCATTCCTTGATTCCAGGAAACTGAATTTTCTTTGGAATGTACTGGCCCTAATGAGACAAAATTAACTTAATGTCCTCTTAGAAAAAAGTACAAAGAAGGGATGAATGGCCTGAAATTTAAAAAAAAAAAAAAATGGTTTTCCAGGATACAAAGTAAAGTCTACTTGAGTTTTTTTATGTTTCATTTTTAAATTGAGATGATAGTTATTGAAAATCTAAGCTCATGAATAGTTTTTTCAATGTTTGCATTTTAAAAACCTGCTGGGCAGTTTTAAAGGTTAAATATTGGGCCAATTTTACAATTTTTATATTTCAAAACAATTTTTTTAACATTTTTTTTATTTTTGGAGGTGTGATAGGTTGGGCCTGTGTATACTACATTAATTTTATCAATTTTTAAAAAAATTATTATTAATATCTACTTCTAAGAAGTGGGGAACATAGAGGGGAAAAGATGCAGACATTAATACTAATCTGAGTCTAACTGTGCCCAAGTGGAAAGTCTTTCACTTTATCTCCATTACTGGTAACAAAACTTGTATAAATCAGGTAGAAGTTTTCATTGGAATTCTAGTTGGGGTAATTGACCTTTGGATATAAAGAAGTAGAAAGGAACTTAGAAAGGGATCATTGATAATTTTATTACCAAATAAAGTAAGTGGGAAACTGGTAACCCTCTAAGGACAAGAGTACCAAACTGTATTTTTGAAAGCCATGGTCATGGAGTGGTTTGTGTATAGTGATTATAATCAATAGTAATAGCAACCTTAAAAGTTACCTTTCCTCTTTAGTTTATTCTATTTTCTTCCAAATTCTCTCAGCACATGAAAAGAGACATTAGGTTGACATTTAATTCAACAATGAAATAACTTTATAAATAAAATGAGACATTAAATCAAGTACTTGAAGATGACCTTTATAAAAAGTGCCTGGAGAGAGGTATACGATTAGCCAACTAATTAAGAAAACATTTTCAGAGAAGGTGATGGGTAGTTCCTGGGTCATGGCATGGGTATATCCCCTCCTGCACAGCTTTACATTTCTGAAAGCAACACTTTGTCTTTTCTCGTGACACCTGGGCATCCCCACCACCTCTCTGTGTACAGTTTTGCACACAGTAGGCTTTTTATACACATATTTGTTAGATGAGATATATTTATAAGCTATTTTACACCTGTAGTACCTATCTGGGGCACCTGATCCCTTTAGGATTGAAGAGGGAGAGATTTGGCAGAAATGTAATAATGGGTTGCTTTAATGAAATGCAACATTAACAATTAAAAAGTAATTAATTATTGATAGTAAATTATTTTGAACTAACAGTTTTGGGTGTCAACTAAGCAATTCTTTTTACCCAGTAAAACTTTCTAAAAAAAGTTTTACTGGGTAAAAAGAATAAACATATAAAGAGGAAAGTGTATAAATATGTACAGAGACATAAATATGTATTAGACACACATAGAATTATTATCACTAATAATATATTTGAGGGAAAGTGGAAGTTCCCTCTCACTCCTTTGAGGTAGCATACCTCTGTGCCCCTCTTTTTATTTTGATGGGATAACTTCCAGTTCTTAACGGTTGGTGGTTTTTATACTTGGCTTTACCTCATATATTTGTTTATTTTCCTATCTGTTCAAGAAAGAAAGGGCATTCTGAAGGGGGGAAAGTTTAGAACCAAGTTATAAATTAAATATTTGCAATTGAGAGTGAATTTTACTCTTGATAAATTCAAGATTAAATGTCTGAGGACAAGTCCTTTAGTGCCATGTCTAAAAGAGAAATTGCTATTATAAGTCATGAATCTGCTGACAAAATGTGTTCTCAGGACTTGATTGCAGCAGGTTCTAATTGACTATC